AAAACATCCCTCGTGGGCCCCAAGATCCCCTGCGCGCCACAGGGATCCCGCGCGCCACATCCTCCCCCGGTGGATTTGATGTCGTCCGCGACATCTTACAACTGGTCCCATCATTACTTAAACTTTTTAACTTTGTAACATGTGATCAATGTTCTATCAGTGTTCTCAATCAGTGTTCATTATGCTACTGTAGTTTGTTCTTTAGTTTTACAAACAGTTGTTTTCCTTTTTCAACTTTTGCTTTATAATCTGAACTTCCCCGAACATAGATATTACAAACATAGTTTGACAAGTAACTTGGTTTTGTTCTTTTTCTTGTTGGTCGATTATTCACTACTGTTTGTTCAGATGGTTCTTTATCAACAGCTTCATCTTTATCAGCAGCTTCTTTGTCTTTGACAGCAACTYCTTTGGCTGTGTTGGGAACGCTGTTATCTTTGTCAACATCTGCAAGGATTTCCGATTYGTTATCTGCATCCGTGCTGTMACTTGAGTTTGTACTTTCATCTGACTCTCCTTCAGTGTCATCATCTTCCTCAGTGTTGTCATCTCCTTCATCTGTTTCATCTGCACTTTCTGTATCATGAGTATCATCGTTATCACTGTGATCATTCTCTGATTCTTCTAAGAGCTGATTTGAGTGTTCTTCCTCAGGTTGAACTWGGGTGTCATCGTCTGATTCAGTAGGTAGAAACATACACTGTCGCAGYWGATTTCTGTGTAYTGTGGTGCATTTCTTGTCAGCTTCCAATTGAATAACATAGACAGGTTGGTCCTTCTTCTTCTCTGTTACAATGTATGGTCCAGTCCAACGATCAGCTAGCTTGTGTCGTCCCTTCAGTCCTGTAGCAGCTTTCAGCACTCTATCACCGACATGGAACTCGATTCCTTTCACTTTGCGGTTGTATAACTTTCGCTGTTTGGCTTTGGACTTCTGAGAAATTGCTTGAGCTGTTTCGTAGCTGTGTTGTAATCGCTTCTTTAGAGATTCGACATATTCACAGTAGTCTTCATTGTCATTCTGTTGGTCTTCAGTCACCAATCCAAATGCCAGATCAATTGGTAGCTTTGGATGTCTTCCGAACATTAAATAAAAATGGAGTATAGCCAGTAGACTCATGTACTGTAGCGTTGTATGCATGCGTCATTGTTTCAATGTGGTCTTTCCAATCGTGTTTCTTACTTGGGTCGAGCGTTCCAAGCATGTTCATCAGGGTAGAATTGAATCGTTCCGTAAGTCCATTACGTCGATAAATCACCAGAAAATCCTGGAAAATTCATCAATACATCCTCTTCTTCTTCTTCTGAGTCCATGTTGTTGTTAAAATGATTGAAATCCTGGTCACGGCACCACATGTGGCCCAGCTTCTTTG